TCTGATTGTCTGAAAAGACCAGAGCGCTCAATGTACACTCACTGGGCAGAGTGGATTGGGACCCTGCTCGCCGTCTGCAGCAGGGATTGCTAGAAGGGTAATAACCTGGGCTCTGAACAGAGTTGAGAGCACCTTAGGTACATAACCGTGTCTTGGCTTGAGGACGACCTTACAGTCGTTAGGCCCAAACTCCAGACAGGAAGCACTGACTGACAGTGCCTGCAAGTCACCCACTCGAAACGCACACACACGATTAGTCACTCAAACAGATCACGCTGCGCGCGCACACAGGCATTCTTTTTAGCGCTCAGACAAACTTTTTAGCGCTGCCCCGCAATTTTATCAATAAAATAGCTTAATCGCTCAAGAGCTACATTATCTTTCTCAACAAGGAGCTGGTAACATCATTGTTTATAAAGGAATTAAAGCCACAGCTTCACTGTTATTAGAGAAATGCGGCAAAACGGTGGTAATTCATACATACACAGCCTGGCTCTGAACGGAGTTGAGAGCACCTTAGGTACATAACCGTGTCTTGGCTTGAGGACGACCTTACAGTCGTTAGGCCCAAACTCCAGACAGGAAGCACTGACTGACAGTGCCTGCAAGTCACCCACTTGCTTGACCGACGCTAATGCCAAAAGGAGAGCGGTCTTAAGTAGGGCTGTGTATCACCAGCAAAGTCACGATACGATACGTATCACGATACAGAGGCCACGATAATAAACGTATCACGATACAGGACTGCACTGAATTTCACCTCAGCAGAATTTAGTAAAACTAAAATACTATAGGGCCATTTCTAACTATTGGCAGAGCAGGCAGTTGACCTCTGCATTATGAAGGGCCTCCATAACTACCACAGTACAATATAGGTAATGGAGTATGGTTCATGTTAACATTGGGCACTCCCCACCAGGTACAATATTCTGATTGTTTGCATCTTGTTTTTAAGCCCATAAATAATAATGTACTCGTTCTAATAAATGTATATTGTAATGTAC